AAACTAACTTTTGGAACTTGAATTTACGAAGACTTTCGAAATATTCGGTTTAAGACTCAATTTCTTAAAAAATCCTAAAAATTGATTGTGACGATTTTGGAAAAATAGAATGATACGAAACCGAAACAAACTTCTGAACGTCGAAATCTACCAAAAAATCCCTTTAGATAAATTTCAAAGATGTTCGAAAATGTTGGTTAAAAATCCACAAAAGAGCGTGTTGATGGTCCCAGGTTAACATTTTCGAAATATTCAGGTGATCAAACGTCAAAGCTGAAAAAAACGAATTTTTTGAAAAGGTCTGAAAATCGACAAAGAAAATTTGGGATATAGATCTCGAGTTGATTTGAAAAACATAGCGTGTTTATGGTTTTGGAGCAAGATCAATTTTCTTTATAAAAAAGTCCCGCCCACCCACCCTTTATTTTCTTAGAAGAGTGGGTCATCTGCCAAAATCAGTCTTATCTTGACAAGTACTAGCCCCGCCCACCCACCCTTGTTTTGTTAGAAGAGAGGATCATCTGCCAAAATCACTCTTATCTTGACAAGTACTAGCCCCGCCCACCCGCCCTTATAAGCTGAAAAAATTGGGTTTCTTGAAAATGTGTGAAAATAGACAAAAAAAATTAAGTTATTGAGCTAGTTTAAAAAACAAACCGTGTTTGAAAATCAATTTGCTTTTTAATCCTAGAAATTACCATATTCCATATGGACAATTTTGGAAAAATGATACGAGTTTTTTAAAAAATGAAGCCGAAAATAATTTCTGGAGGTCGAAGTCTCCACAAAAATCTCCAATCAGCTATTGAAGAACTTAACTTTTGAAAAATTTGCTAAAAATCCACAAAAAACAGCCGGATCAAGTTTTGGGAAATATTTGGTTTAAAGGTCAATTTTTTTAAAAATACTAATTTTATCTTAACGATTTTGAAAAATGGTGTGAATTTTCGAAGAATTGAAGCCGAAAGTAACTTCTGGATGTAGAAATCTACAAAAAATCTCTTCAGGTAATTTTCAAAGGTGTTCGAAAAACGTCAAAAATTTGATACAAGTTGAAAAAGTGAGTTTTGTGAACATGTTGTCTAAAAATACACAAAAAATAAGGGTGGGTGGGCGGGGCTAGTACTTGTCAATATAAGACTGATTTTGGCAGATGACTTATTCTTCTAAGGAAATAAAGGCTGCGCGGTTGGGGCATAAATGAGAAATCGGAAAATTGTACAACTGTATAATCGGAAAATCAAAAACTGAAATATCGAAAAATTGAAAAAAAGAACAAATCTTATAAAATCGAATTCAAAATTCCAGTTTTCATTTTCTTTTAGTTTTTAGATTTTTCAATTTTTAAATATTTCAGTTGATAATTGGTTTGACAATTTTGCAGTTTTGCATTCCAATCTTTTGAGTTTTCAAGTTTTAACATTACAATTTTGGAATTTTTTGATTTTTAATTTTTCAAGTTCTCATGTTAAATTTTTTCCTTTTCACGATTTGTCATTTTCGACTTTTTAACTAAAAGAACAAATTTATCCGGACCGAAATTTTGAAAAACCGAAATATCCAAAAATTGAAAATTAGTAACAAAATTTTCAGATGTTTTAAAGTTACGGCAAACATGGCAGATCGCTGATCAAAATTAGTTTTTACTGCCTTACAAAAACCCGGTGACAAAAAATCAAAAATCGATAATTTAAAAAAATAAACATATATTTTCTCGATATTTTTAAAAATCGAATATTTGAGAAATAGGAAAACTGTCAAAATTTGTAAAATTAAAAAATTGAAAGTTTTTTTCAGTTGCCCAGAGAAATCAAAAATCGAAAGATAGATAAAAACATTGAAAATTTAAAAAGAGAGAAATTGACAAATTCGAAAGTTAAAAAATCTAAAAACTGATCTAGTAGCACTCGCTACGATAAGACTGATTTTGACAAAAGACAGATCCTCTAAGAAAATAAGGGTGGGGGGGCGGGGCTAGCTCTTGTCAAGATGAGACTGATTTTGGCAGATGAAATATCCTCTAAGAACATAAGGGTGGATGGGCGGGGCTAGTACTTGTCAAGATAAGACTGATTTTGGCAGATGACCCACTCTTCTAAGAAAATAAAAGGTGGGTGGGTGGGGCAGTACTTGCAAAAAATAAAAAAATGACAAATTGAAAAATCGGATAAATGAGAAATCGGAAAATTGTGCAACTGTATAATCGGAAAATCAAAAACTGAAATATCGAAAAATTGAAAAAAAAGCAAATCTTATAAAATCGAATTCGAAATTCCAGTTTTCATTTTTTTTTAGTTTTTAGATTTTTCAGCTTTTAAGTATTTCATTTGATAATTTGTTTGACAATTTTGCAGTTTTTAATTCCAATCTTTTGAGTTTTCAAGTTTTAACATTACAATTTTGGAATTTTTTGATTTTTAATTTTTCAAGTTCTCAAGTTAAATTTTTTCCTTTTCACGATTTGTCATTTTTCGACTTTTTAACTAAAAGAACAAATTTATCCGAACCGAAATTTTGAAAAACCGAAATATCCAAAAATTCAAAATTGGAAACAAAATTTTCAGATGTTTTAAAGTTACGGTAAACATGGCAGATTGCTGATCAAAATTACTTTTTACTTCCTTCCAAAAACCCTGTGACAAAAAATCAAAAATCGAAAATTTAAAAAAATAAATATTGATTTTCTCGATATTTTTAAAAATCAAATAATTGAGAAATAGGAAAACTGCTAAAATTGTAAAATTAAAAATCGAAAGTTTTTTTCAGTTGCCCAGAGAAATCAAAAATCGAAAGATAGATCAAAAAATGGAAAATCTAAAAAGCGAGAAATTGAAAAATTCGAAAGTTGAAAAATCGAAAAACTGATCTAGTAGTACTCGCTACGACAAGACTGATTTTGGCAAATGATCTACTCTCTAAGAAATCAAAGGGCGGGTGGGGGGGACTAATATTTGCCAAAATAAGACTCATTTTGGCCAATGACCTACTCTTCTAAGAAAATAAAGGATAAATCATCTACCATAATCAGTCTTATCTTGGCAAGTATGAGACTGATTTTTGTAAATGACATATATCCTAAAAAAAATACGGGTGGGTGGGCGGGGCTAGTACTTGTTAAAGTAAGACTAATTTTGGCAGATGACCCACTCTTCTAAGCGAATAAAGGGTGGGTGGGCGGGGCTAGTACCTTTTCTTAGAAGAGGTGGTCATTTGCCAAAATACTAGCCTGGCTCACCCGCCTTTTGTTTTCTTAGAGGGTACGTTATTTGGCACGTACCTACTAGTAAATTTCGACCCATTTTCGACGATTTTCAAAATTTAACTAAACCCTTTTTCTTGTAGACTTCGGGGCGTAGAAGTCACTTCCGGCCTCATTTCTTCGATAACTTCAACCTTTTTTCCAGAATTAATGTTTTCGAGTTCAGTCCGGATTGCAGAGTTTTTGTTCGGATTAAAGAGATATCGACTTCAACTAGTCTCTGTTTGGATTACCGGATGTTCGGATAATCCTGGGTTCGGATTATAGAGGTTATACTGTACTTCATAAATATATACATTGTAGTTGGAAATTTTATAGTAGTAGGTAAAGCTTCAATATTTTAAAAACTATCAAAAATTGAATCTGAAAATTCTGAAGCTTCGTTTTAATTTCAGCAAAAACTGTAAATTCAAGATCTTCGTGGTATAAGTGGTTTTATCGTAGTTTTAAAGTCAAAATTCTGATACGATAATATCAAAGTTTTGAGATTTTCGAAGTTTCAACTCCAAAATTCGAAATATTCCTACTAGTCTAGGAATTCAAAAACCGATACTTGAGATACTTGCGATCTCGAAAGTTAAAACTATCGGACTAATTTCCAAACTTTACTATTTAAAAAGTCAAAGTTTTGTAATTCATTTTAAAGCTTCTACTTTTGTTTGGAAAAGAGTTCCAATTTTTGACAAAATCGCTTCGTTTTAATGGAAACAACGGTAAAATTTTAAAATGAGGACCTCACGATTTATGTCATATTTTTATTATTTCAAAATTTAGAGCTTACGCTTTGACAATTATGTCTTAAACGTCTAAAAATCGATCTTCGAAATTTCAATAGTCAAAACTTTAATTAAAATCATACCGCAAGCCTTACGATTTAAAAAGTCAAAGCCTTGAACCTAATTTTGACCTTTTGACTACTTGTCACAAGAAAAAAGCGTCAATTTTGTTTTTAATTTTATTTCGTTTTACTAAAAATATAAGAAGTACATCACACTTGAAAATTTTAAAACAGTAAAGTTTTGATATTTAAAAAAATGTGGTTTCGACATCCAAAAATCGAATTTGAAAATTCTGAAGCTCCGATTTTATTTGTCAAAAACTGCCAGTTCTAGATATACGTGATATAAGGTATAATTATGTTTTATCACCAAGAATCTGATACGATTATTTGGAAGTTTTGAGATTTAAAGCTTCAACTCCGAAAACGACATTTGAGATCTCGAAGGTTAAAACTATCAGATGTTTCCAAAGTCTAATACCTGAAAAGTCAAAGTTTTGCAGTTCATTTTAAAGCTTTTACGTTTGTTTTAGAAAGAAGTGTGAGTTCTAATTGTTGGCAAAATCGCTTCCTTTGAATGTAAAGAACAATAAAATTTTAAAACTAAGGATGGGCGTTTTATGTCAAAATTTCATTGTTTAAAATGTTAGGGCTTCACTACTTTTCACAAGAAAAACAAGTCAATTTCTTTATATAATTTTATTTCGTTTTACTGAAACTGATAGAGAAATTTTAAAATCGAATCTTAGTTTAAACATTCTTCACCCTCCATACTCCCACTACGTCAAAAAATCGCCGCCTTTGAAGCTTAAATCGATGAGTAATTATTTTACTATTAGTAAGAAACAAAAAATAGACACCGTCACAATTCAGGAATGCATCATCCCGCTGACGACACTAGAGGAAATAAATTTTTCAGTATTATGATTGATGGAGCTTTAGCAATAAACTCATAATCTCCGATAAGGAACCCAGATAAGCTCAACTGATTAACGAAACCACACACTACTTGCGGCAGTAAGTAACACACTCCAGTCCCGCAAAGCCACTTGTCACTTGTGCAAAATGTCAAACGTGAGTAAACCCGCCCTTACCAAACCTCCCTCTAAACAAAAAACCCCACTTTCAGACAACAGAGATGTTCCAAAAGGAAATCGACGACCTAAAGTTCGACTTCATAGTCAGCGTGAGTGTCATCGGAGCCGCTTGCATTTTCCTCCTGATCTGCGTCTTCGGACTCCTGATATGGAACGCCCACCTCACCAAAAAAATAAAAAATCTCGACCCTTTCGTCAACTTTAAACTACAGTAAGTGTTAGAATAAAAAACGGAAATGGGTCATGTCGCAACCGCGGTACAATCAGTCAAGTGTCGGAAATCATTATCGGCTCTTCACATAAGTGCTACTTTGTTTTCTAGATGTAATCACTTGACTCATCATTTTGTTATTAAATAAATATTAGTTGGTAATTAGTTGTAAGATCATTGTTATTTTTAAAGGAGGCCTAAATTAATTAACGCGGAGACGCCGAGCCCCACCGAGCCCCCCAAGAACGTCTACGACAACTCCCCCTACCCCAAAAACCCGATGAGCCAGCCAGCTGAAAGGCGGGATCTGAATCCCATTGCAATCCGAAGCAAAGCTAGTTTCGATAATGGGAATTTTATCTTCGGTGAACCCAACAACTTATCTTCGTAAGTTCTCGCCGATTTAGTCAGTGCACAATTGTGACTTTTTTTTCCAGGAATTCGTTCAAAAATCCAGATTATTTGGATCAGGATAGTCGGTTTTATTAAATCTGGACTTTATCTCGTGTTAACACTACATAAACCTCAGCTTTAACTCATTTATTTATTTTTCTAGTTTTAGTTATTGTTAATTATTAATATAGGTGTATATTTTTTATTTTTGTGTTTTTGTTATCAGCGAACCGGTATGATTGCGTTACGATATTATCTTATCTGACTAATTGTAAATAATTTCACTAATTACACTGTTATCAAATACAAAGACGTTTTACTCATGTCCTATGAAATTTTTGGCAGAATTGCCAAATATCTATAGGTATTTACGGGTTAAGTGCAGTGTTGGTGTACTTTAAAAAAGCGATAAAATTAATAACCACATTCCTACACTACAAGTATTTCAAAAATGTCACAACTTCTGGCTAAGAAAGTCATAAAATGAATGTCGAAGCAATTTCAAATTATTACCTCAATACCATTATTTACTTTCGATCCCAAACATTTACAACGGCATTAAATACTCGAGATAAATTCAATAAATCCCTCTGACATGATGACTTAATACTCCCAATAAAAATAACAATTACACAGCATTAAAAGATAACCGCGCTATCATCGAGTCTTAACACAAACAAATAAAAAAAGTACGCAAAAATCAATACTATACACGTCCTGATCACGTTTGTAATTTCTAGTTTCTAAAGCAACACGTTGTTATTTTTTTATTATTTAGATTTGAATATTTGTTTGATTAAATGGAATGCAGCGTATCCGAGCACGCTGCGTCGGGGGCGGCGGGTGCAAAACAGCCGTTAATGACAATTCGATAGAGGGCTGGAGGCGGCGACCCCCGCCGTTTCCAAGACGACGGCACAGCCTCGCTTCAGTTTTCCTAGCCCATCTGATATGTTTGTATAAAGATTTGATAGCAATTACACCACGGTTTGCCAAAGCGCTTCTTTCGAATGGAGAGTCCTTCACAACAAAAGGCTCCCTCTATTAGCTAAAATGAGGCAAAGCTTGGGACAATGGGACGAGTGCGGGATTTTTAAGGGGCGGCGGATACGTAAAAAAGAAGATGTATAGTCAAGGTGACCAAATAGTGAATAGTGACCCTGCGTGGCGGTCTCAACTATAAATAAAGTCAACAATTTTAGCAACTTTTTTTCGGTGTATTTCGTTTCGTATGGGAATCCACTCGTGTGTACTCTCCTCAATAGCAATCACAGCCTGAAGTCGTCGTATTACACGTGTCAAATCAACGGGGAGTTTGTAATGACCCGAACGCCCCCCATTATTATTTAGGACGGTCGACGTTTCGCATTGTTAGCCCATCACACTTGCTGACTTCCAGTCAACTAAACTAAACCAATTATTATGTGCCCTTTATTCCAGTGTTTGCTTGTGGAGGAGATTCGGCCGTGGCGGAAAACAATAGTCGGTGAGCTTACGCAAAAAATGAATTCTTAACGAGGGTAGCGAGATTTTAGAAAACCATTATTTACATCCGTCGGGATGGAACTGAAAATTTGTCAACTTCGAAATCATTCGAAATAACAATGGAAATGGGAGCACAGCGAGCAGGTTTAGCAGTACTCAAGTTACTTTCTACTATACAGAGTGTTTTGTTTTTAAGAAGAAACGCCCAACTTATATGAATTTTTTTTAAATGGATGTGACGCAAGATTTTGTGAAGCCATAAATAAAGGCTCTTATTATACATAGTGTTAATAAAAATTTGAATTTTCAAAAATCGAGACTTTTTAAATAAAAACCCTATATTTTATTATTGCATCTTATCCTGTTTTTGCTACCATTGTTTTGTTAAGTGTTTTTCTACATTTATAGTTGATAGATATTGAGGAGATTTTTTACATTTTTAAGAGACAGAGAACAAAACATCAACAAGATCCGGGAATAAAAAGCAGTAAGTATGGTATTCTTGAAAAAACTGAAATATCAAGATTTCAAAACAGTAACGTTTTAGATTTTGAACAAACACCCTGAATATTAAAAAATGCAACAAAATGAAGAAAGACAGAAGTAGAGGTAAACAAAAGGGATAGAATGGAAAAGAAAAAAAGTCAACCACAAAAGAAAGAAAGAAAGAAAGATAGCAGAAGGAGAAAATGAAGTGGAAAAAAGAAAAACAACAGGAGGAAAGAAAGGTAGGAAAGGAAAACAACCTGAACGTGAAAAACTCTAGATACGGAAATTCAAGAAGAAATATCAGGAAAAATTTTCCGGTTTTAATCCGAATAAGCGTAAAAATTGCGGAAATTTTCAAGAATAAATATTAGAAGAGAAGAACAGGAAGGACAAAAGAACAAAAAGTACAAAAAGAAGAAGAGAACGGGCAAAGAAAAGAAAAATCATACAGCGCAGAAAGATGGATAGAAAGGACACAAACAGGCAGAAATAAAAGAAGGCAGTAACAGAAGACAAAAAGAAAGACTAGGAAGAAAAAATCAACAAGTGGAAGAAAGGCAGAAGCAGAAGTAAACAAAGGCAAGGAATGAACAAGGAAAAAACTTCAACCACAAAAGGAAGAAAGGTAACGGAAGGAGAGAAAAGCAGCGAAAAAAAAGAAAGACAACAGGAGGAAAAAAGGATAAGAAAGGCGTCAGAAAAAGAAAAGGAAAGCAGAAGGGACAAAATAAGAAAGGGAAAAGAAAACAGTCTGAAATTTCTCGCTATGTTCCCATTTTATATCTAAAAGGTAGCACGATCAAGCTATCAAAATTTGGATAGTACAAAGAAAAAAGCTCTAAATGAGAAGATAAATAAATTTGAGAAGAAATATTAGAAAAATTTACGATTTTAATCAAAATAAGCGTAAAAATTGAAGCAATTTTCAAGAATAAATATTAGGAAGGGAGAACAGGAAAGGCAAAAGCAGGACGGAAAGTACAGAAAGAAGAAGAGAACGGGCAATGCAAAGAAAAGTCATAAAGAGCAGAAAGGTGGATAAAAAGGACACAAGCAGAAGTAAGGATCAACTGAAGAAAAAAAGAATAGAAGATAGCAAAACCGACAGGGAGAAAGGAAGACAGAAGCTTAAGTAAACAGAAGCCAACAGCAAAAAGAAAGAAAAGTGGCAGCAGCAGGAATGAAAGTGGAAGGAAAAGAGCAAAATATGTCTAGAAGGACACACTATCAACGTCAAAAGTTGGAAAATGCAAAAAACGTTCAAAATGAGAAGATAAAACAATTCAAGAAGAAATATCAGAAAAAAGTTAGCAATTTTAATCCGAATAAACGTAAAAATTAAAAAAATTTTCAAGAAGAAATATCAGAAGAGAAAAGGGGAAACGACAAAAGAAGGACAGAAAGCGCAAAGAGAAGGACTGAAAAGTTATAACAAGCAATCAAATGAATAGAAAGGACACAGACAGAAGCAAAGATTGACAGACGGACAAAGAATAAGAATTGAAAAGAGAGCACAATAGACAAGAAGAAAGAAAGGCAGAAACAGTAGGAACGAAAAGCGCCAATAGAAGGAAAGAAAGAACAGAAAAAATCAACAGATGGAAGAACGGCAGAAGTAGAAGTCGAAGTAAACAAAATGGAAACGGAAAAAAGGTCATCCACAAAAGAAAGCAGACAACAGACGGAAAAGGGCGCAAAGAAAGTTAGGAAAGGCGACAGAAAAAGAAAACAGGAAAAGAGACAAAATAAGAAAGACAAAAGAAAACAACCTGAACGTCCTCGCTGTATTCGCATTATATATCCAGAAGGTAACACGATCAAGGTATCAAAAATTGGATAATGCACAGATAAAAGCTCTAAATGAGACAAACAAATAAATAGAAATTACACAGACAGATGCAAACATTGACAGACGGACAAAGAAAAAGAATTGAAAAGATAGTACAATAGACAAGAAGAAAGCAAGGCAGAAATGGTAGGATGGAAAAGTGCCAATAGAAGGAAAGAAAGAACAGAAGAAGTCAACAGATGGAAGAACGGCAGAAGTGTAGAAATTGAAGAAATTTTCAAGAATAAATATTACTCCTAGAAGAGAACAAGAAGGTCAAATAAAAGGACAGAAGTACAGAGAGAAGAACAAAACGCGTAAAGAAAAGTCACAAAGGACAGAATCGTGAATAGAAATAATCGACTGAAGACCAAACAAAAAATAGAAAACACGGCAAAACAGACAGGGAGAAAAGGAAGGCAGCAACAAAAGCAAAGAAGAAAGGGTAGAAAGAAGTAAGCAACAAGTGGATGAAAGGCAGAAGCAGAAGTTAACAGAATGCAACAGCAAAAGGAAAGAAAAGTAGCAGCAGCAGGAATGGAAGTGGAAGAAAGACAGCGGGAGGAAAGAAGGTAGAAGTAGAAGGAAGGAAAATCTATAGGAAAAGGAAAGGAAAGCAGCGGAAAGCAGAAAACAAGGAATGCAGAGGAAATAACTTGGACGTGCTCGCTGTGCTCGCAATATATATATGCAGAAGGACACACCATCGAGGTGTCAAAAGTTGGATAATCCAAAAAAGCTCAAAATGAGAAGATAAAGAAATTCAAGAAGAAATGTCATAAAAAAGTTTGCAATTTTAATTCGAATAAACGTAAAAATTAAAGAAATTTTCAAGAAGAAATATCAGAAGAGAAAAGGGAAAAGTACAAAAGAAGGACAGAAAGCACAAAGAGAAGAACAGAAAAGTTATAACAGGCAAACAAATGAATAGAAAGGACACAGACAGAAGCAAAGATTGACAGACTGACAAAGAAAAAGAATTGAAAAGGCAGCACAATAGACAAGATGAAAGAAAGGCAGAAACAGTAGGAAAGACAAGTGCTAATAGAAAGAAAGAAAGAAAGAACAGAAGAAGTCAACAGATGGAAGAACGGCAGAAGTGTAGAAATTGAAGAAATTTTCAAGAATAAATATTACTCTCAGAAGAGAACAGAAAGGTCAAATAAAAGGACAGCAGTACAGAGAGAAGAACAAAACGCGTAAAGAAAAGTCACAAATGACAGAAAAGTGCATAGAAATGATCGACCGAAGACCAAACAAAAAATAGAAAAGACGGCAAAACAGACAGGGAGAAAAGGAAGGCAGCAACAGAAGCAAAGAAGAAAGGGTAGAAAGAAGAAAGCAACAAGTGGATGAAAGGCAGAAGCAGAAGTTAACAGAATGCAACAGCAAAAGGAAAGAAAAGTGGCAGCAGCAGGAATGGAAGTGGAAGAAAGACAACGGGTGGAAAGAAGGTAGAAGTAGAAGGAAGGAAAATCTACTGGGAAAGGAAAGGAAAGCAGCGGAAAGCAGAAAACAAGGAAGGCAGGGGAAATAACCTGGACGTGCTCGCTGTGCTCGCAAGATATATGCAGAAAGACACACTATCGAGGTGTCAAAAGTTGGATAATGCAAAAAAAGCTGAAAATGAGAAGATAAAGAAATTCAAGAAGAAATATCAGAAAAAAGTTTGCAATTTTAATCCGAATAAACGTAAAAATTAAAGGAATTTTCAAGAAGAAATAACAGAAGAGAGAAGGGGAAAGGACAAAAGAGGGACAGAAAGCGCAATGAGAAAGACAGAAAAGTTATAACAGGCAAACAAATGAATAAAAAGGATACAGACAGAAGCAAATATTGACAGACGGACAAAGAAAAAGAATTGAAAAGACAGCACAATAGACAAGAAGAAAGAAAGGCAGAAACAGTAGGAAAGAAAAGCGCCAATAGAAGGCAAGAAAGAACAGAAGAAGTCAACAGATGGAAGAACCGCAGAAGTGTAGAAATTGAAGAAATTTTCAAGAATAAATATTACTCCTAGAAGAGAACAGGAAGGTCAAATAAAAGGACAGAAGTACAGAGAGAAGAACAAAACGCGTAAAGAAAAGTCACAACGGGCAGAAAGGTGCATAGAAATGATCGACCGAAGACCAAACAAAAAATAGAAAAGACGGCAAAACAGACAGGGAGAAAAGGAAGACAGCAACACAAAGAAAGAAGAAAGGGTAGGAAGAAGAAAGTAACAAGTGGATGAAAGGCAGAAGCAGAAGTTAACAGAAGGCAACAGCAAAAGGAAAGAAAAGTGGCAGCAGCAGGAATGAAAGTGGAAGAAAGACAGCGGGTGGAAAGAAGGTAGAAGTAGAAGGAAGGAAAATCTACAGGGAAAGGAAAGCAAAGCAACGGAAAGCAGAAAACAAGGAAGGCAGAGGAAATAACCTGGACGTGCTCGCTGTGCTCGCAATATATATGCAGAAGGACACACTATCGAGGTGTCAAAAGTTGGATAATGCAAAAAAAAGCTCAAAATGAGAAGATAAAGAAATTCAAGAAGAAATATCAGAAAAAAGTTTGCAATTTTAATCCGAATAAACGTAAAAATTAAAGAAATTTTCAAGAAGAAATAACAGAAGAGAAAAGGGGAAAGGACAAAAGAGGGACAGAAAGCGCAATGAGAAGGACAGAAAAGTTATAACAGGCAAACAAATGAATAGAAAGGACACATACAGAAGCAAAGATTGACAGACGGACAAAGAAAAAGAATTGAAAAGACAGCACAATAAACAAGAAGAAAGAAAGGCAGAAACAGTAGGAAAGAAAAGCGCTAATAGAAAGAAAGAAAGAACAGAAGAAGTCAACAGATGGAAGAACGGCAGAAGTAGAAGTAACCAGAAGACTACAGCAAAAGGAATTAGAGCCGGGAGCTCAGGGCAACAGCTGAAGGAAGGAATGGCAACATAAAAAGGAAAGAAAATCGGCAGATATTTTTTTAATAATTTAGCTTGGCAGGAAGTTTTAGAAATTTATCATTGCATTGAAATCCAAAGAGCGTCGTTAATTAAAGTACTTATGAATATCTTTGGGAAACTAACTCAATTACGAAAAAAAAGCTCAAAATCAGAAGACAAAGAAATTCAAGAAATTTCAATTTTGCAAAACCAGAAATGAAAAATGTTTAAAGAGACATAAAATGATAATATGAAATGCCGTAAAAAAGAGAGAACAAAAGTACAAAAATTCATTTTTCAATCAAAAAATGAATTTTTTGAAGACAATTTGTTTAAAAGATATAACAAAGCAAGTTGTTGTACATACCTGTATAAACTTCCTTCGTGTTTTATTATTCTTTTTAATTATATGACAGCTGCATTAATAATTTTATCACTAATAGAAAAAATTAGATGTTTTATATATTTTTTTTTTTAATTTGAATTAATATTCGATTTTGTTTTTAACCGATTCGTGGGGCATTGAAATAACACACCATTTGAAAAATAACAGGCAATCTTTATTAATATTTGGTTGGGTATACGTACTAATAAAGTTATTGTACATTTAATAATAGCATAGACATACAGTCGTATTCACAGTCTTAAATTATTGTCGTATCTATCCAAAACAACAAAATCATCAAAATCAAAGCACCCAAAATAAGATCACGCTAACACAATTGACACTAAATTATATTACTCTTCTCTTATGGCACGCCACTCGGGATTGAATCTTATATACAGCCTTACTTACACTCGAAAAATACTTATATTTTACATTGTATCGTATAAAACTCTCAAAGTAACCACAACAGTTCCCCTCCCCCACTAGTGCACGTACTCGTTCGCCAGTTGGTACTGCTGAGTGTCAACAATCACACTCGTATACCCCGCAGTGCTTCCAACATGATTTAGCTGCTTAAACTCGTGTGCATACATATTCTGCGTCGGCTGCGCATGCGCAGGATTATTATTGAAACACCCTATATTAAAGTGCTGGCCGTGAATGTCTCCACAGTAAGGATTACTCGTCAAATTCTGCAGGTGCATCTCGCTCTCTGAAGAACTACAGCTGGACGAAGACGCGCTGAAGGGCCGCTGTTGCCCTTGACCCAGCAGGGGATGCTGGCTGACGTCATCGGAGTAGGGGTAGAACAGCTCCTGGTGCGAATAGTACGTCTCTTCGCTGGGCAGGTTGAGGAACATCGAGTACTCGGGGGTGGGGTAGGCCACGGCCGACTCGCTGTAGTCCTCGTCGGGGATGGAGGGGGAGATGATGGGCGGCTGGTGCGGGGTGGCGCGGCTCGGCTGGTACTTGGGGGCGAGCTTGGCGGGGGAGTTTTTTGGGGACGTGGGGACTTCTTCGCGGAGTGAGCCTTGAGCGAGGTTGAGGAGGAGGTCCTTGCCTTCCAGGTCGCTGCAAACAGAGGGTGAGTTGCGGAGGGTGAGGGGTGGGAGATTACCTAAGTACGTAGTTGACGGATACGATGCAGTGGGGTCGAGATGAGCGCGAGTTGTGGACGATGGTGGCGTAGCTTTGCATCCAGACCCAGCCGCCGCCTTTGCTCATGAAGCGGTAGTATTTGGTGGTTACTTGCCCTTTGCATAGCACTGGAAGTCGAGGAAGGAAACATAAAAATAACGAATAAACGAAGGAAAATAAATACCAACAAAAGAACGGGAAGGTGGAAAAAATTGAGTGGTGAAGAAAAAGGAGGAAGAGGATTTCAAACAAAACCAAAATAATAAACTGTTCGCAGAAATTAATGATTTGGAATCAGTGCATCGACGTAAAATTCAAAATTTCCTATTTGAAACAACAAGAAATTTTGCAAATTCAAAAATTTTTTAATTGATCAACTAACAAAAAACATACATGCTATTATTGCAAATATATAAATTTCTCGGTGTTTAGATTTACACAACGTGGATTTTTTTAAGAAACAACAATGTTCTTCTTTCTCAGTCTAAGATTCACCAAATAGTTGATTTAAGACGAAAAAAAGGACGTAGGACGAAAAGGACGAAGGACGAAGGGGTCGTAGGACAAACTATAAATGAACGAGAAGGACGGAGGTCGAAAATGCGATAAGGACGAAAGTGAAAGGAAGAATATGACCGAGGACATAAACGCAATAAGGATGAAGGTCGGTGAACGAAAAAGCCATGAGGACAAATAACCAAAGAAGAAAAGGACGAAGGACGAAAAGAAGAAAGACAAAAGACGAAAAGAATAACCAACGAATGACGAAAATGACAATACGAAAACGGCGGAGGACGAAAATGATAAAACGAAAAAGATGGAGGACGAAAAAACCATAAGGACCGAGGACGGAAAACGAAGAACTAGGAGGACGGAGGACAAAGGACGACCTGGACGAAAGTCATAAGGAGCAAAAAGAATGAAGAGGGTGTAGGTCGAAAAGGGCGAAGAACAATGGATATAAATAGAGAAGGATACGGTACCAAATGAACGAACAAAGGGAGACAAAAAGGACGACAACGAACGACGGAAAGGAGGAATAACGAACGACAGAAAGGAATAACAAAGAAAAATGGAAAGGACAAAGAACGTAAAAGACGAACAACAAAGGACGAAAATAGCGAACAACAAAGGTCGGAAAGGGCGAAGGACGAAAAAGCGAACAATGAAGAACGGAAAGGACGACTAACGAAGGACGAAAAAGACGAAAAACGAAAGACGAAAGGGACGATCAACGAAGAACGAAACGGGCGAACAACAAAGGAAAAAAGGACGAAAAACGAAGGAAAGAAAAGATGAATAGGAGAAGAGGTCGAAGAAGGAAGAAGAGGGCGAAAGATGAAGAAGATGGAGGACAAAAAAGAAAAGGACGTAAGGCGAAAAGGGCGGAGAACGATGAACGAAAAGGCGAAGGACGAAAAGGGCGAACAACAAAGGAAATAAGGACGAACAACAAAGGAAAAAAGAACGAAAAACGAAGGACAGAAAAGATGAACAGGACGAAGAGGTCGTAGGAGGAAGAAGACGAAGGACGAAAATGACAGACGACGAAGGGTGAAGAGAACGAAGAACGAAGGAAGAAAAGGGCGAAGAACGATGAATGAAAAGGCGAAGGAAGGAGGCCGAAGAACGAAGTGGACAAAGGATGAAAAAGACGAAGGATAGACAGCGAAAAGAGGGAAGGGCAAAGGATGAAAGACGAAACGGACACAGGACGAAAAGGACGAAGGGCGAAAAGGGCAAAGGACAAGGGACAAAACGCGTTAAGATGACGAGAGGATGAAGAACGAACAACGAAGAGGACAAGAAACAAAGAGGAAAGGCCGAAAGAACGGAGGACAAAAACGCAATAAGGACGAAAAGGTGATAAGAACAAAAGAGGAAGGACAAAAGATGAAAAGAAGGACAAAGGACGACCAACGAAGGACGAAAAGAACGAAGAATAAGACAAAAATGACCAAAAAAGAACAGGCTACAGAGACCAAGGACGAAAATGGTCAACAACGAACGACGAAAAGGACGAACAATGAAGAACGGAAAGGACGAATAACGAAAGACGAAACTTATTAACGACGAAAAGGGCAGAGGACGGAGAACGAAAAGGCGAGCAAGACGTAGGACAAAAAGCACAAAGAATGAAAAGGACCAAGGACAAAAGAGCGAAGGGAAAGTAACGAAAAGGATGAACAATCAAGTACAAAACGGACGAATGACAAAGGACGAACAACATAGGACAAAAAAGACAAACAAAAAGGACGAAAAGCACATACAGCAAAAGATGAAAAGGACGTACAACAAAAGACGAAAAGAACGTACAGCAAAGGACGGAAAGGATAAATAACAAAGGACGAAAAGGACGAACATCAAAGGATGAAAAGGACGAAGAAAAAAGTGCGAAAAAGACGAACAACCAAGGACGAAAAGGGTGAACAAAAAAGAATGAAAAGACGAACAACAACAAACGAAGGATGGAAAGCATGAAGGGCGGAGAATGAAAAGGTGACAAGGACAAGACGAAGAGGACGAAAGACGAAAGACCAAGAGGACGAAGGACGAAGAGGACGAAGGACGAAGAGAATGAAGGACGAAGAGAACGAAGGACGAAGAGAACGAAGGACGAAGAGAACGAAGGACGAAGAGAACGAAGGACGAAGAGAACGAAGGACGAAGAAAACGAAGGACGAATTTGTCGAAGAACGAAAAGGATGAAGAAGGGACGCAGAAGACGAACGAAGGACGAAGGACGAAAAGGACAAAGAACGAAAAGGGCGAAGGACCAAAAGGACGAAAGACGAAAAGGACGTAGGACGAAAAGGACGAAGGACGAAAAGGTCGAAGGACGAAAAGGACGAAGGACGAAACGGACGAAGGACGAAAAGGACGTAGGACGAAAAGGACGAAGGACGAAAAGGACGAAGGACGAAAAGGACGAAGGACGAAGGACAAAAAGGACGAAGGACGAAGGACAAAAAGGACGAAGGACGATAAGGACGAAGGACGATAAGGACGAAGGACGATAAGGACGAAGGACGATAAGGACGAAGGACGATAAGGACGAAGGACAAGAAGGACGAAGGACAAGAAGGACGAAGGACAAAAAGGACGAAGGACAAAAAGGACGAAGGACGAAAAGGACGAAGGACGAAAGGCGAAAAGGACGAAAGGCGAAAAGGGCGAAGTACGAAAAGGGCGAAGGACAAGAAGGACGAATGACGAAAAGAACGAAGGACGAAAAGGACGAAAATGACGAAGGACGAAGAGGACGAAAAGGACAATTAACAAAAGCCGACAAGAACGAACAACAAAGAACGAAAGGACAACTAACAAAGGTCGAAAACGACATACAACAAAGGATGAAAAGGACGTACAACAAAGGACGAAAAAAATGAACATCAAAGGCTGAAAAGGACGAACAAAAAAAGACGATAAAGACGAAGAACCAAATACGGAAAGGATGAACAAAAAAGAACAAAAGAAACAACAACAAAGATGAAAAAGACGAAGAGTGGAAAATAAAAAAGATGAAGGTCGAAGACGAAGAAGAACGAAGAGGACGAAAAACCAAGAGAACGAAGAACGAAGGGGACGAAGTACGAATAAGACGAAAGAAGAAAAGGACGAAGGACGAAGAAGACGAAGGACGAAAAGGACGAAAGACGAAGAAGATGAAGGACGGAAAGGACGAAGGACACGAACGACTAAGGGAACGAAGAACAAATTTGTCGAAAAACGAAGAGGATGAAGGAAGGACGCAGATGACGAACGAAGGACGAAAAAGAAGAAGGACGAAAAGGACGAAGGGCGAAAAGGACGAAGGGCGAAAAGGACGAAGGACGAAAAGGACGAAGGACGAAACGGACGAAGGACGAAAAGGACGAAGGACGAAAAGGACGAAGGACGGAAAGGACGAAGGACGAAAAGGACGAAGGACGAAAAGGACGAAGGACGAAAAGGACGTCGGACGAAGGACGAAAAGGACGAAGGACGAAGGACGAAAAGGACGAAGGACGAAAAGGACGAAGGACTAAAAGGACGAAGGACAAGAAGGACGAAGGACAAAAAAGACAAAGGACGAAAAGGACGAAGGACGAAAAGGACGAAGGACAAGAAGGACGAAGGACAAAAAGGACAAAGGACGAAAAGGACGAAGGACGAAAAGGACGAAGGACGAAGGGCGAAAAGGACGAAGGGCGAAAAGGACGAAGTACGAAAATGACGAAGGACGAAAAAGACGAAGGACGAAAAAGACGAAGGACGAAAAAGACGAAGGACGAAAAAGACGAAGGACGAAAAAGACGAAGGACGAAGGACGAAAAGAACGAAGGACGAAAAGGACGAAGGACGAAAAGGACGAAGGACGAAGGACGAAAAGGACGAAGGACGAAAAGGACGAAGGACGAAGGACAAAAAGGACGAAGGACGAAAAGGACGAAGGACGAAAAGGACGAAGGACGAAAAGGACGAAGGACGAAAAGGACGAAGGACGAAAAGGACGAAGGACGAAAAGGACGAAGGACGAAAAGGACGAAGGACGAAAAGGACGAAGGACGAAAAGGACGAAGGACGAAAAGGACGAAGGACGATCAATATACAACAAAGGACGAAAAGTACAAGCAACAAAGGACGAAAAGGACAATTATCAAAGGCCGAAAAGAACGAACAACAAGGATGAATAACAAAAGACGAAAAGGACGTACAACAAAAGACGAAAAGGACGTACAACAAATGACGAAAAGGACAAATAACAAAGGACGAAAAGGACAAATAACAAAGGACGAACAGGACAAATAACAAAGGACGAACAGGACAAATAACGAAGGACAAAAAGGACAACTAACAAAGGACGAAAAGGATGCACAATAAAGGACGAAAAGGATGTACAACAAAGGACGAAAAGGACAAATAACGAAGGACAAAAAGGATAAATAACGAAGGACAAAAAGGATAAATAACGAAGGACAAAAAGGACAACTAACAAAAGACCAAAAGGATGTACATCAAAGGATGAAAAGGACGAACAAAAAAGGACGATAAAGACGAAGAACCAAGTACGAAAAGGATGAACAAAAAGAAGGATAAAGGGCGAAGAATGAAAAGGTGACAAGGACAATACGAAGAGGACGAAGGACGGAGAGGACGAAGGATGAAAACGACGAAGGACGAAAACGACGAAGGACTAAGAGGAGGAAGAACGAAGAAGACGATCAATATACAACAAAGGACGAAAAGAACAAGGAACAAAGGACGAAACAACACGCAACAAAGGACGAAAAAGACAATTAACAAAGGCCGAAAAGAACGAACAACAAAGGACGAATAACAAAAGACGAAAAGGACGTACAACAAAGGACGAAAAGGACAAATAAAGGACGAAAAGGACAAATAACAAAAGACGAAAAGGACAACTAACAAAGGACGAAAAGGATGTACAACAAAGGACGAAATGGACATATGAGAAAGGACGAAAACGACGTACAACAAAGGACGAAAAGGACATACAACAAAGGATGAAAAGGACGAACATCAAAGGATGAAACGGACGAACAAAAAAAGACGATAAAGACGAAGAACCAAGTACGAAAAGGATGAACAAAAAAGAAGGATAAAGGGCGGAGAATGCAAAGGTGACAAAGACAATACGAAGAGGACGAAGGACGGAGAGAACGAAGGACGAAGCACGAAGAGGACGAAGAACGAAGAAGACGAAGGACGAAACACGAAGAGGATGAAGGACGAAAGACGAAGAGGACGAAGGACGAAGAGAAAGACGAAATTGACGAAGGATGCAGAGGATGAAGGAACGACGAAGAAGACGAAGAAGACGAAGGAAGAACGAAAGACGAAAAGGACGAAGGACAAAAAGAACGAAAAAAAACGAATGACGAAAAGGACCAAGGACGAAAACGACGAATTACGAAAAGGACGAATTATGAAAAAAAGGACAGAAAGTAGCGAGAGCACAGAAAGGGGACAGAAAGCATGAAAATCAGAAAAGTCTGACAGACGAACAGAAAGACGGATAGAAGGACAGACATAATTAAGGATTAACATAAGAAAAATGAAGAGAATAGAAACGACAGAAAATTCGAAAAAAGAAAAGTTACACAATAACGACAACATGAGGAATGGACAGCTCTAGGAAAAAAAAGGAAAAAGAGCAGGACGAGAAAAGACAACAGAGGGAAGAAAACAGAAATAAACGGAAGGCAACCGTAGAAAGTACGAAAGATGGCAATGGAAGGAGGCAGAAGTATGATTAGTCTTAAATCATTTTTTATAATTTTAGTTTAAGACAACATAGTTAAATATAGTACGAACAATGCTTTAATAGGTGAATCAGTAAAAAATAACAAAAATATTCAAACACAGAAATAAACTTAATAATCATGAACTAATAAACACGAAAATAAAAACAAAAGGATTGGTAAGAAGAAAAAGATAGACACTGAATTTATAAATTAACTTAAACAAAACTACAACGTAACGGAATTTGAAATTAGAGAGGCAAAACTGAAAAAAAAACGCCGCATAAAACCAATAGGATTTGGATTGGCCATGAAAAACAAACACAACCAACAAAACATCAGAAGCTAAACACAAAATTCGCGACTCTTAAGACTTCATAAGTCTTTATCATCTTCCTCCTATCAACACCGCCACAGAAACAAGACCCTTACAACCCAAATCATCCCCAGGGGCTGCGACATACACAAATGCCACCACCCTTATCCATGTTTGTTCAGCTCTCCCCAGGAAATTTATTGTTTAGGGAGTTAATTACGCGCAATCACCAACAGATTAACACAACTGGGGAAACCCATCCCTGCAGGTACGCCCGGCGAAGACCGTAACGGTAATAAAGCGGTCCGCACAACAATACAGCATGTCTCCGAAAGGAAAATTTCAGTACTTACATTGGTGATGAGCGTATCGCATTGCCAGAATATCGCTGCCGTGGATATAATGATACAGCGTTTTTTCGATGAGGTCCTGGGGCTCATATCCCGTCAATTGGGCCACCCTGCAAACACAAAAAACCCGAGAAATATTACACCGCTCATTATATTGAAACAGCCTGCATATTCCGCCTGCAGGCGTGTTTGTATTACGCCACTTTTTACGACGTAAAACAATGGGGAATTTAGAATGGCAGCTCGTGTTACATCGTCCGTATTGGTGATGAATGGGAACTGAAGCACCTGACAGTGCTGGTAACACGACACCCACAAATCGATCGTTTTCGGGGAGACAAATCTCGCCACACGTTACCATTTCAGTTATTTTTCCAAAGTAAAATGAATTTTAATGCAATCTTACCTCGCATCCAGAAAAATTAACTTGAGATCTAAGCTAGCCCTGAACATGAACATGTTTGTGTGGAGTTTGATTTCGGTTATGGCACTGGGTGGTAACGAATGCCCGACGGCAACAAGACCCATGTTTTGGTAACAGCCTTCGTAGGGCGATGAGGAGGCGCTGAATTGTTTCACTTTGAGGTAGCCCGAGCAGTGGATGACCTGGAAAGATTGGTTCTCGGTGAGGTCCTATTGGCTGCTTGTTTAATTCAACGACTTTTAAATTATTCCACTAATTTGCAAATTGGCATATGGTAGTTTTAATTGCCTTTGGAATAAAAGGATTACACATGTTTACATCTGAAGTGTGCTCGCTCGCATGCACAAAGGAAGTAAATCAGAGGTGCATATGCATGATGTGTGCATTCAAGTCGTTATTCGGTGCTTATGCAATTTATGCGTTTAGGTTGTTAATTATGCATTTCGCTTCTTGGGTTGCTTGCTTATTAGTGGGTGGAGAGGTGACTTTGAAGTTGCATGGAAGTATACATTATATCGGATGACTACATCAAAGAACGTTAAAATTAATCAAGTAGACACTGAAACAACCGAAAATTAGTTAATCAACGGCAATTGTTTTGGTCAAAAAAGCCTATAGCCAATATTTGAAGATGTTTTTAAGTGGGAAAGAGTGAAAATAACATCTTTATTTCCCTTTAACAACCCGATTTCCGGTTTTCTCCTTTTTTAAAAGAAGTGATAAAAACTAGGAGTTAAAGGTCAAAAATATTAGTGTTCTTGACAAACTTCGTCCCTGAAGATTTGGTTAATTAATTTAGACTCGGAGCAATTAAAATATTCAGAACAATTTTAAATACTTAATTAATTATTATTAATTGAAGTAAAGACAAAATATTCAAAGATACGCAGATAAAGTGCTTAGGAAGAAAGATGGAAACGGTAAAAGACAGACGGAAAGGGCGAGAGAACAGATAACAGAGATAAAGAGACAGAGAAAGAGAGCACATAATGAAGGAAAAAGAGAAAATAAAAGAAAAACAGGCAGATAGAAATATTAAGAATATCACACATAAAGGAGAAAGGACAAACATTTGAAAAAATTGAAGCAAAAGACAGGTAAGAGAAACAAGCAGATAGAAGAACAGTTGGATACAGGGAAGAACTTATCAGAAAAATGCAGACAAAAGTATAGAAATGCAAAAAAGAGAAAAGATGATCCAAAAGGTAGTAAGAAAATAGAAATGATAAAAACAAAAGAAGATAGAAAAGAAACAAAAACAGAGAAAAGTAAAGAAAGACAAGCCAACTGACAGACAAGGTCATAGAAAGACAAATAAGAAAACTAACAGAAGACAGAAGGACAAAAGACAACAGATCGTAGAAAAGGCCAAATTATAAAAAAAATACAGAAGCATACAAAGAAGGCCTTGGAAGTAAATTGGACAACAGACAAAATAAGGGACAGAAATACGCTATGAGAACACAGAAAGAAATAGCAATACGCAGAGAAGACTCAATAAACAACAGAAGTACAAAAACACACAAGCGGAGGTGAATAGATAAAATAAACAAAGCCGATAGGAGAACAAAAAAAAATATGTCACGAGGACAGAAGAGACACAAAAAGACAGGTAGAAGGATAGAACTCCAAAAATGGAAAAAACAGAAAAAAGGACAAACAGGCAAAAACGACAAAAGGACAAACATGCTGAGGAGACAAAAGTATAAATAGACAAAATAGGCAAAGGCGACAAGACAAAAAACACGGCAAAAAGAAAGAAAGAAAAAAGGCAAATAGACACAACATGAGGAAAAGAACATTGCGAAATACAATGCAAATTTTCATTTTTAAATTTTTCGAGTTTTCAAGTTTAAATTTTTCAGTTTTTCAATTTTTCAACTTTTGAATTTTTCAATTTTTGGATTTAAGTTCCTCGAGTTTTCGATTTTTCAATGCTTCGATGTTTTAATTTTTTGTTTTTCCATGTTCAATTTTTCGCTTCTCTAATTTTTCTATTTGCAATTTTTCATTTTTAAATTTTTCAGTTTTTCGATTTTCCTACTTTTGGATGTTTCAATCTTTCGCTTCGGTTTTGTATTTTCTTCTTTCTTTCAATGGGAAATTTTTCAATTTTTCTATTAGTGATTTTTCGGTTTTTAATTTTCTCAAATTTTTGATTTACAATTTTTCTAGTTTTCGTTTTAAATATGTATGAAATTACAATATTTTTTCAATTTTTCACTTATTCCTTTCTTAAAATTTTGAATAGTCAGTTTGTCATTCTGTTTTTCGATTTTCCTACTTTCGAATGTTTCAATTTTTCGATTAACAACTTTTCGTTTCGGTTTTGCGTTTTCTTTATTTTTTCAATTTTTCGGTTTTTAATTTTTCGTTTGTCAAATTTTTGATTCACAATTTTTGTAGTTTCCATTTTAAATATGTATAACACATATAACAATATTTTTTTTAATTTTTCCATTTTTCCATTTTTCAATTTGATTTTAAAACTTTTCCATTTATTCCACTTCTCGGACTCTTCGAGTTTTCATTTTAAAATTTTTTAGTTGTTGAATTTCCCAACTTTTGAATTTTTTTTGAGTTTTTAATCTTTCGTTTCTGTTTTTTATTTTCTTATTTTTTTTCAATGTTTCATTTTTATAATTTTTTGTTTTTTCATGTTCAATTTTTCGATTTAAGTTCCTCGAGTTTCCAATTTTTCGTTTCGGTTTTTTATTTTCTTATTTTTTCAGTTACTCAATTTTTCAATGTTTCAATGTTTTAATTCTTTGTTTATCCATCTTCAATTTTTCGTTTCTTTAGTTTTTCTATCTGCAATTTTTCATTTTTAAATTTTTCAGTTTTTCGATTTTCCTTCTTTTGGATGTTTCAATTTTCGTTTCGGTTTTGTATTTTCTTCTTTTTTTCAATGGGAAATTTTTCAATTTTTGGACTTTCCATTTTTCAGTTAGCAATTTTTCGGTTTTTCAAAGTTGTAATTTTATAATTTTTTTGTTCAATAGGAAATTTTTCAATTTTTGGAGTTTCAATTTTTCTATTAGCAATTTTTCGGTTTTTAATTTTCTCAAATTTTTTATTTACAATTTTTCCAGTTTTCATTTTAAATATGTGTAAAATGACAATATCTGTTTTAAATTTTTCACTTTTTTAATTCTACGATTTCTGATTTTTTCCAATTTTTTAATTTTTTAATTTTTGGATTTGCAATTTCCCGATTAAAGTTTCTTGAGTTTTGAATTTTTCAATTTTTCGTTTCGGTTTATTTTCTTATTTTTTCAATTATTCGATTTTATAATTTTTTCTTTTTCCATGTTTAATTTCACGTTTCTTCAATTTTTCGATTTGCAATTTTTCATTTTAAAATTTTTCTGTTTTTCGATTTTAGTATTTTTGGATAATTCAATTTTTCGATTTACAATTTTTCGTTTCGGTTTTGTGTTTTCTTTATTTTTTTCGATTTTTCGGGTTTTCAAACTTCTGAGTTTATAATCTTTCTTTTTTGAATGGGAAATTTTAAAATTTTTGGACTTTCAATTTTTCTATTGGCAATTTTTCGGTTTTTAATTTTTCGTTTCAATTTTTGATTTACAATTTTTGTAGTTTCTATTTTAAATATGTATAATACATATATTTTTTTAAATTTTTGAATTTTTCCATTTTTCATTTATTTAATTTTAAATCTTTTCCATTTATTCCACTTCACCATTTTTCGAATCTTGATTTTTCAATGTTCTGATTTTATAATTTTTTGTTTTTTCAATCTCAACTTCAATTTTTCGAGTTTTCAAGTTTAAATTTTTCAGTTTTTCAATTTTTCAACTTTTGAATTTTTCCATCTTTCGATTTAAATTTCCTGAGTTTTTAATCTTTAATTTCGGTTTTTTATTTTCATATTTTTTTCAATGTTTCAGTTTTATAATTTTTTGTTTTTTCGTGTCAATTTTTCGTTTCTTCAATTCTTCGATTTGCAATTTTTCATTTTTAAGTTTTTCGACTTTTCAAGTTTAAATTTTTCAGTTTTTCAGTTTTCCAACTTTCGAGTTTTTCAATTTTTGGATTTAAGTTCCTCGAGTTTTCGATTTTTCAATGTTTCGATGTTTTAATTTTTTGTTTTTCCATGTTCAATTTTTCACTTCTCAAATTTTTCTATTTGCAATTTTTCATTTTTAAATTTTTCAGTTTTTCGATTTTCCTACTTTTGGATGTTTCAATCTTTCGTTTCGGTTTTGTATTTTCTTCTTTCTTTCAATGGGAAATTTTTCAATTTTTCTATTAGCGATTTTTCGGTTTTTAGTTTTCTCAAATTTTTGATTTACAATTTTTCTAGTTTTCGTTTTAAATATGTATGAAATGACAATATTTTTTCAATTTTTCACTTATTCCTTTCGTAAAATTTTGAATATTCAGTTTGTCATTCTGTTTTTCGATTTTCCTACTTTCGAATGTTTCAATTTTTCGATTTACAACTTTTCGTTTCGGTTTTGCGTTTTCTTTATTTTTCAATTTTTCGGTTTTTAATTTTTCGTTTGTCAAATTTTTGATTCACAATTTTTCTAGTTTTCATTTTAAATATGTATAAAATGACAATATTTGTTTTAAATTTTTCACTTTTTCAATTCTACGATATCTGATTTTAAATTTTTCGATTTTTAATTTTTTAATTTCTCCTGTCTTGAAATTTTCGCTATGCAGTTTTTCGTTTCGGTTTTTTTTTGTTTTCTTTATTTTTTCAATTTCAACTTCAATTTTTAGATTTGCAAATTTTCATATTTTTTAGCTTCGAGTTTTCATTTTAAAATTTTTTAGTTTTTCGATTTTCCAACTTTTGGATGTTTCACTTTTTAGATTTTGCGATTTTGATTTGCAGCTTCACGACTTTTCGATTTTTAATTTTTGAATTTTTCGATTTTTCAATTTTTTCTGTCTTCAGTTTTTCGTTTTTGCTTTTCCTTATTGTTTCAATTTTTGATTTGCAATTTTTTAGTCCTAGGTGTAATAATATTTATTATAATTTTTAAAATTATCCATTTTTCGATTTTAAAATTAAAAATTGAAAAAGTGCTAAATCGGAAAAACTACGTATGTATTGAATTACCGAAAATTAAAGAAATCGGGTAACTGGAAATCCAAAAATAACTCATTACTATGGAAATTTGCAATTTAACACCTTGCAGCTTATATG